ACTAGATGACAGCATATGAAATGTTAGGCCTGGTGACATAAGATAAATGAGACTACCAACTAACTGGCGATAAAGAGTTACATCTGTAAGTGGAGAACCGTTAGTGGCTAGAAGCTTAGTATTATACTCAAGTGGACTCGTGACTATCTTGCTGCGTCAACCCAGCTTTGGAAAGTAAATCAGAGGCATATTTTGCTTGAGTGAGATAATAACCATCATGATTTGAAGTAACTTCAAGGCCTAGGAAGTAGTTAAGATGTCCCAAATCCTTCATCTCAAAATTCTGACTAAGAAAAGTTTGAAGATCTCGAATACCAAAAATATCATCACCAGTAATAATCATATCATCTACATAGAGAAGAAGAAGGATAGTATGCCCCAGTAGTGCGAAGAAAGAGTGCAGAATCATATGGGCTAGAAAGAAAGCCTTGTTGAGAAACCACTAACAGAAATTTCTCAAACCAAGCTCGAGGAGCCTGTTTGAGCCCATAAAGTGCGCGATGAAGACGACAAACTTTATTTAGAGGATGCTCATAGCCAGGTGGAGGCTACATGTAAACTTCTTCAGTAAGATCAACATTAAGGAATGCATTTTTAACATCCATTTGAAAAAGTTCCCAACATCAGACAGCAGCAACTGCAAGTAAAGATCTGACAGAGGTAAGTCTAGCAACAGGAGCAAAAGTCTCCTCATAGTCAATCCCATACTCCTGGGTGAACCCTTTAGTAACAAGTCGAGCTGTGTAGCGTTCAACTGATCCATCTGCTCGAGTCTTGATTTTATAAATCCACTTGCATCCCACTACAGTTTTATCATGAGGCAAGTCCACCAGATCCCAAGTATGTGTTTTGACAAGAGCATTCAATTCATCAGACATAGCTTGCTGCCAAAGAGGGTTAGTACGAGCCTCACGATAATTGTGAGTTTCGTGGAGGGTGACAAGGACAGAGAAACAGTGATAATCATGAAGATGAGCAGGAGGAACACTTACCCCGACTGGAACGACGAGGTTCAGGGAGTGGAGAAGATGGAGGAATGGGTGGTGTGGCAGGTGGTCCATCAAACGCATCAACTGGATTAGGTGCAATAGTGGAAGAACTGTCTGAGGAGCTTGGAATCTCTACAGAAGAGTCATAAAATAGAGCAATAGAGGGATCAGTGAATATAAGTGAGTGGTTAGAGGAGGAAGGGGAGAACGTGGATATGTAGTAAATGGTTTGTGTTCCCAAAACTCCACATGACGAGAGACTCGAAGACGTTTGGAGATAGGATCATAACAACGATAACCATTTTGAGTTAAGCCATAACCAAGAAAACAGCATAACCGAGAACGGGGTTCAAGTTTGGTCCGTTCATGAGGAGGAAGAGTAACAAAACAAGCACAACCAAAGACAAGAAGTAATGAATAGTTAGGAACCATACCATAGAGAAGCTCATAAGGAGATTTGTTGTGAAGTATAGGTGAGGGTACCCAATTGATTGTGTACATAGCAGTAAGAGCAGCTTCATCCCACAACTTTTCAGGTAAAAAAGCAAAAAGTAAAAGAGCTCTTACAATATCAAGGATATGACGATGTTTTCGTTCGGCACGACCATTTTGTTGAGAGGTATAGGGATAAGAACGATGTGACAGTGTGCCTTGTTGATTCAGGAACTCAAAGAGAGTTTTGTCATTGTATTCCATGGCATTATCTGAACAAAAAACTTTAATGGTACGAGAAAATTGAGTTTGTACCATTTTGTGAAAAGTTTGGTAAACACGAACAAGCTCATATCGATGCTGTAACAAGTACAACCATGTATAACGAGAATAATCATCAACAAAGATAACAAAATAACGAGATCCCCCCTCAGTAGGAGTGGGTGCAGGACTCCAAATATCAGAGTGAATCAAATCAAAAGGTGCAGTCGAAGAAAAGTCACTTATATTAAAAGGTAAATGAGTTTGTTTGCCAAGTTGACAGGAAACACAATCAAAAGACTCAAAACCTATAGAAACTAGGTGACCATGGGAGGCCAAAAGACGAACATGAGGTATAGAGGCATGACCCAACAGAGAATGCCATAATTAGGAAGAGATGGCAGGAGCAACAATAGAGCGAGACAGATGGGATGGAAGCCACAAAGAAGCGAGCTCGAACAGACGTCCAATCTTATGGCCTGTCCCAATGAGTTGACCCGTTTGTGGATCCTGCACATCAACACCAGCATTAGAAAAGGTAAGTTGAGGACCTAATTCACAAAGTTGACAAACTGAAAGAAGATTTAAGGATAACTTGGGAACAAGATAACTGTTGTCAACAAATAAGATAGGAGAGGAAATAGACCCAATGTGACTAACAGACAAATGAGAACCATCAGTAGTATATATGATAGGATTGGGTGACAAAGTAGATTTTTGTGAAAAAATGGTGGAATTAGAGGGCATGTGATTACAACATGTAGAATCAAAAAACCAAGGAGATGTACCTGAGGTGACAGACAAAGCACTAAAAGACCGGGATAAAACCTGATGAATTAATGCCTTAATGTCAGTAGCAGTGAGAGTAGTGGACACTGAAGAAGGCTCAACAGTAGACTCAAGAGCAGAAGGAGCAGTTGGAGCCACGACAGCAGCTTGCAACCAGAGGGCCCGAGACTGATTTTTGTTCTGCAATTTTTGACATTCCGTAACAGAATGACCTGGACGTTTGCAGTATTTGTAGAAGACAGTCTTTGAGGATTGAGAAGGGAAAAGACCCGAGGCTGGAGAAGATCCAAAGGTAGTCTTAGGGATGGTAGCAACAACTGAATCTGGAGTTTGCATCTTCATGGTTGAATGACGATTTTCTTCGAAAATAAGTTCAGTAATTGTAGCCTCAAGAGTGGGAAGAGGTGTGCGATGCAAAAGAGAGGCCCGAGTAGATTCAAAATCCTCATGAAGTGCCATCATGAAATGCATAAACTTACGACGATCATGGTAGGTTGCAAACAACGCAATGTCATCGGAACATTTGAGTTGCGGATCTGCAGCAGACAACTATTCCCAAAGATTATTAACTTGAGAATAAAAATCAGCAATGGACTGACCTGATTCCTGATGCATCTGATAAAGCTTAGTCTCAAGCTGGAACTGCAACGAAGCATCATGAGTGCAGTTGTATCGTTTAGCAAGAAAATCCCAAGCAGCTTTAGCATTACCAAGCTTGAGAAGCAGGCTATTGATGGATGGAACAGAAGTATTGATAAACCAAGATAATATTTTATAATGAATACTATGTCAATCTTCAAGCCGACATGCAAACTTATCAAGACTCTTACCATCTTGTTGCTTGGGGGCAAGAATATCATCAGAAACATAACGCCATAATTTTCGTCCTCTAAGAAATACTTCCATATTTTGAGCCCACATATTATAATTTGAGCTATTTAAAATGGTATCAATAGGACGAACAATGGTATCAAGGGTGGGAGAGGTGTGAGACATACTTTTTTTTTTTTTTTTTTTTCCAACGGTCAACGAGTTAATGGTCAATGACTCAACGGTCAATGAGTCAATAAGTGGACCTGGGCTGGACTTTGAACCAAATGGGCTGATTTATAAAAGAAAGACAAATGGGCTAGAAAGGAAGGCTTACTAGGATTGGGCTTGAAGTTGGCTGTAATAGGCTTGAAGTTGTCTGCTGGAGATTTGTGGCGCATGCAGAATATTCAGGAGGCACGTGGGGGCGCATGTGGAAGCGGAGCGGGAAAATCTTGACACAGAAACACCGATAAAATTCTCAAGACTCCGTTTATGATCAGATTTGATAAAAAAAGGAAGCAAAATCGGATGTAAAACCACGAAAGGAAAGATTATAACCTAGCATAATTACAGAAAAAATCAAATTTTCTAGGGATATTATAAGATACTAATGTATATATACTAACAATATTCTAGAGATATTATAAGATAATAATATATACTGACAGATACCATGTTACAGAGTAAAGAGTAGAAATTTAGAGAAGAAGATGTTACAAAGTCAAGTCAAGAAGAATATTTTATTTCAAACTCTTCTAGCCTTACATCCGTGCTTTTTAAGTAAAGAGTAAAATAAAGTGGTTGAGTAAATAACCACAATTACACAACTATTGGTTTATTAACCACAGTTGCACAACTAACCACAGTTCTAACTAAATTATATAACTGAATACTTCCATAAATATTATTAGACTCGTTTCATTGAAATGAAATGATATTTTATAATTCAAATCTAAGTATCGCATAATTAATTGCACAATATCATGACTAGAAAATATGATATATATATTTTACATTGGAAAAAAGTTAATAAATTTAAACTAGAGTTATATATATCTTAATTTAAAACTCGTTACTTTCATATCATTCATGGAAGGAACAAAAAGAAGCATGTGAGATTGATTTATTCTAATAATTATATAGGGGTAATTAAATAGTATTTATTAACTTTAACCCTCCATTAAATTACACTAAACAAATAAATAATTAGAACCTTTAACTTCCACTTTCTGAATTTTAAGTACGACCACATTTTGTGGTGTGCACTTTCAAAAAGGCAAATCAAAGAGTTAAATACATTTTGGTTCTTGAGGTTTGGCCTCAATATATGAAGGTCTAGTAAAATCTGATACTAACACTTAGATCCTTAAAATTTATTGTAAAAGTCTATACCCATAATATATTTTCCAAACTAAAAAATTAATTCAGTTATAAAAAAAATAAATGGCTGCTAACTGATAATTTTTGTTAAAATTTAGAACAATCCCATTAATTATAAGAAAATAAAAATTAACAAATTAAGGTATTTTAGATATTTACATAAAAGAAAATTCAAAAGCTTTACCTGAGGCTGACACAAGGATCTGAATGTTACTATCAGATTCCCAGGGACCAAACTGAGATGTACACTTTCCAAAAAGGCCAAAATTAAATGGACCAAAAAGGTTGACCATACATGATATAACAATGCACATGGACACCCGTGATTATTGCTCTCCGAGGTGGCAAATTCTGATAAGAACTCTGAACTTTGTTTGGCCGCCTCTCACAAATCGCTTGGTCTCGGTTTTCGTATTACATTCCCCGAATCGTTTTGTCTGTCGAAACCCACTATTCCGGCTCCGTATTCCTTTTTGGGACCGATTCGATTTGATTCAATTCCATGCAGTTCAATTCATTTCTATCTTTAACGTGACGTTCTCTCTCTTATTTCATCATCTTCCGTGAAGAACCAAAGCCAAAGTTGAAGAGAATTAAATTAAAGACTGAAAAGTGAAACCCCCAATTTTTCTAGGGTTTGAGAGGTTCATTATTTTGTTTTCGTGTGGAATTCTACATGGGTGAATATGAAGAGATTGGAGCTGATATTTGGTAAGAAACGATGCCGATTTGTTGTTCCTTTTGTGTATTGGATCATGCCCATTTGAGTGTTTTATTCGATTTTGTTATTGATTGTTGATGGAATTGTCATATTCATGATTAAAGTTGGGTCTTTTGTTGCTGTTTGAGATTGTTAGTTATCTGGGTTTTGATTGAATAGGGTAAGATGTTTTATTTTGTTTGGTTGGTTAGAAAATGTGGAAAAAGAAAAGGAATTTGAGTTGTGAGTGTATTGTTGTTGATTCTGTGGGTATGAGATGTTCTAAGACTTTTGTCTTAGAATAATATGGTTATGTTATATGTGGGTTAGGTGAAGTGGCTAGACTGAGATCTTTAATTTTTTTTTTTTTTTTTTTCATTTATATTGAAGTATGATAATTCATAAAGTTTAAAAGATGGATCTTTTCCTTTAATAGACCAGAAATAGAGAGCTGTTATTGTAATTTTGATTTAATGGGGATTTTCTGATAATCTGATGGTTGTGAACACTTTGGATGACAGCTCGGATATTGAAGTTGATGATATAAGGTGTGGAAATATAGCGGAAAAAGATGTCAGTGATGAGGAGATTGAAGCAGAAGAATTGGAAAGGCGGATGTGGAAGGACCGAATCAAACTTAAAAGGATCAAGGAAAAAGAGAAGCTTGCGGCGTTACAAGCTGCAGAGAAGCAAAAACCTAAGCAGACAACTGATCAGGCTCGGAGGAAGAAAATGTCTAGAGCCCAAGATGGAATTCTTAAGTATATGTTGAAGTTAATGGAAGTGTGCCAAGCACGTGGGTTTGTCTACGGGATCATTCCTGAGAAGGGTAAGCCCATGACCGGTTCGTCTGATAATATTAGAGCTTGGTGGAAAGAAAAGGTAAAGTTTGATAAGAATGGCCCTGCTGCCATAGCAAAGTATGAAGCAGAATGTTTAGCCATGTGTGAGGCAGAGAATAATCAAAATGGGAACTCGCAGAGCATTCTTCAAGATCTGCAAGACGCAACTCTAGGTTCTCTCTTGTCTTCTTTGATGCAACATTGTGATCCTCCTCAGAGGAAGTACCCATTGGAGAAGGGAATTCCACCACCTTGGTGGCCTACTGGGAATGAAGATTGGTGGGTAAAATTAGGGCTACCCCATGGTCAGAGTCCTCCATATAAAAAGCCACATGATCTGAAAAAGATGTGGAAAGTAGGGGTGTTAACAGCAGTGATAAAGCATATGTCTCCTGATATAGCAAAGATCAGGAGGCATGTCCGTCAGTCAAAGTGCTTACAGGATAAGATGACTGCAAAGGAAAGTGCAATCTGGTTGGGGGTTTTGAACCGGGAAGAATCTCTCATCCGGCAACCTAGCAGTGATAATGGAACCTCTGGGATAACTGAAATGCGTGTGGATGGCAACGGTAATAAGAAGCGACCTACCATTAGTAGTAATAGCAACTATGATGTTGATGGTATTGATGATGGTGTGGGTTCTGTCTCATCCAAAGACAGCAGGGAAAATCAACTGATGGATGTAGAGCCAGCAAGTGGTCTTGGCAATTCCACACCCCCTCCTGGCCAAGAAAATAGACGGCAACCAAAAAAGCGCAAGACAGGTGGACACCGCGGGAAACCAAGGCCTGCTAATCAAGCGCCTAGAATGTCTCACAATGAGTGCCAACATGATGAGCCAAGAAGAACTTTGCCTGACATAAATGATACTGATATACCCCTTATTGATTACAATACACATGATAATCAACAGGAAAACATTGCAGTCACAGCATTGAGGCCCCCAGACGTAGGTTTTGAGGGCTCAGCACCAATAACAGCATCTGGGTTCAACAATTTGTCCCTTGTTCCTTCTGCCGGTCTTGTTTCTACGCAGAGCATGTATGTGGACGAAACGCCTATGCTTTATCCCATGGTGCCAAATGCTGAGTTACAACGTGTTGCTACTTATGATGTCTATAATCCATCATTTGAAGTGGGACCTGGTCATGATTTGACGCATGGTCAGATGGATATGAATGTGTCACAGATTAGGCCAAAGGTTGATGGAGGCTATGTAGAAGCATTAGATAGAAATGAAAATGGCATTAGCACTGGTGGACTGGAACCTTATATTAAAGACACATTTCAGAGTGAACCAGAAAGGCCTGTTGATACATTTGGACCTTCAATTGATAGCCCATTGATTGATTTCGGTGGACTCAGCAGTCCATTTTATCCTGGAATTGACGGCACAAGTATTGATGACCTCTTCTCTGATAATGACTACCTACAATACTTTGGGGCATGATTTGCAAATGGTGATACTTCTGAGCTTGTAATGTGAGTGAAGTTCTCACTGACCTTATTAGTCATGTTTATTGATCTTATAAGACTTCTTTTGATGTTCTTCTTATTGTTCAGGGCTGCAAAAACGTGGCACTCATTGCTGACCTGGTTGAAGGACCTTTCCTTAGCCATTGTTTTGTGAGTACAGGTCAAGACTGTAAGTTATGAACATAATTTTAATTCTCTTGTGCAACTCATTGTTTTCAGAACAAATGAACGGAGGCATGATGACTTCTTGTAAATGATCAATTTGTTAGACTGGCGAAATGATTAAATTATAATAATTTCTAATTTCTCTGGAATTCCTAATAAATAAGCTCATATTGTGTTCTTTCATGTATGATGCCAATAGATTTCTATTTTTTGTTTACTTCCTTTGATGACTCTTCTCCCTTCAGTAACTTATATTGATACCTACAATCATTGTTTTCTTGTGCAAACTTAAGCTTCTTTGTTACCCTAATTCATTGATGCCGGAGCTCTGATATTGCTGGTGTATCTTGTCATATCACATTTATTAGTTTTGTAGGATTTAATCTTAGCTTAGTGTCTGTTCAGGATTCAATGGCAGCCGACAAAGAAAGGTTTTACTTGAATCTGGGATTTGTTATCACTAGATTGACTACCCTGGAGAAGATCTCATGCAGGGTCAAAAAAAGTCTGATATGTACCTGCCAACTAATTTAGCCAGCTTGAAACAGTTTGGGTCTAGGTTGAATTTTTTCTATTGTGTGAAACTTTCTAGCATGAAACTAAAGTCTGATGATGTACCTGCCAACCAATTTGCATTGCTTATGCAATAAGAAACCGGTCTTATAGTCCATTCTGGGCGCATTTATATCCATAGTACCTGAAATGATCATTAACATTAGTCAGCGTCACCTTCAAAAAAGGATGAAATTCTGATGTTAAACACTGTTTAGAGTATATTGAACCATAGATAGTAATCTGACTCTTATAATTCATATGCATTTCTGTAATTAGATAATGTAGTCTTCAATAATAATACATCATAGGGGCTCAATCTTTATGTTTCCTACCATTTTTTTTATTTACTGTGGTGTATTTTACTAAATTTTTTGTTGTTTTAAATGATGTTGGGAAAAATTAAATTGGTTCTTTTAGAAGTGTAAGATAGTTGATGAAGTTATGTAAATCTATTTCCATGTGAATCTATTTCCAGAATGAACCTTAATTTCGATCCTAGTAATTTATAGGTAGTGGGTATTCCTATGTTTGGGGACGAGGCTGTGGTGATAAAAAGAAGTGGCCGAGCTATTTATCCTTTTATCAGTGAATGGATACGAGGAAAAAGTAAATTGTGTTGCTAATCTCCTTTGCTCTCATCCCTCCCCTTCTTTTTTTCTGGGTGTAGGGCCGGTGACGGGTTGTTTTGATAAGACTGCTTTTACTATTTAGATTAGATCAATCTGTTCGGCTGTATCTCCTTGACATTTTGGCCTAGTAAGAAACCAAATAGTAAATATTGCTTGCTTGTAGAGGAGAAGGAAGAACAGAATTTTGTTTAGGAGTGATGGTGGTGGAAGGTTTCAGTTTGGTGAGATAGATGAGCAAGCCGGATGAAGTAGTTAGGTTTCTAATTCTAATTCTAAATGTCGGTTTAATCATGTAATCATGAGTGAACTAATGAAGCACTGATCCGATAACGAAGATCGCTGTTTCTAATCCCCTTGTTTTTGCCTGCAGAAAAATGTTTCTTAGCTTTCCGGTGAGCTTCTTATATTGACTCCTATGAAGATAAGTGTTTTTCACTTGCATTTTCTTTGGCTGTAAAATCCTTTAAATTGTATAAATTGTTCTGGTTTTTCTTCATCATTTACTTTAATTCTGAACTGTCAGACATGACCAAAGGAAGTATATTCTGACTTTTCTTTGATTAATATATATATCCAGATTGTTTCAAACTCCGAATTTTCGCTAACAGTGTCTATAGATGTTAAAAGAAATAATTTTCAATATGAAATTTTTTGACTAAAATCTTATCTTATCAGAGTTTGTAATTTTTCACGGGTTCTTTTATTTATTATAGTCATTTGGGTGAATGGGGTAACATTAGCTCCTTTACAGTACATATTGTTAAAAAATTCATACACATTAGATACTATCACAGTAACATAAATGTTCTTGAATTGATAATATTAATTAAGAAATTATATTTAAAATACTAAATAATGGTTAATAGATATATAAAAGAGAAACAAACATATATACAACACTGATACTATATCATATATTTATTGACTTTGAGTTAGAGTAAGAAGGCATCAGTAATCATTAATAGTTCTCTAATTAAAACGTTTGAATATTAGTTTTGTTAAGATCATGCTTAAATATTATTACAGAATAAGAGTAAATTTGAGAAGAAGATGCTAGAGAGTAAAGTCGAAGAAGATTTTATTCCACACTCTTTTAGCCTTACATCCTTGCTTTTTAAGTAAAGAGTATGTAAAGTGGTTAAGTAAATCCCCCAATTACACAACTATTGGTTTACTAACCACAGTTACACAACTACCACATTTCTAACTAAACTATATAACTGAATACTTCAATACCCTCCCTCAAGTGGTGGGTGATAAACCCCTAACTTGCTTAAAAGAATGATGAACTCTACTACTAAGTTTTAGTCAAGAGATTAGCTGGTTGTTCTGAAGTAGGAATATGAGCCAGTTTAATGAACCCTGCCTTGACCTGGTTTCAACAATATGACAATCGATATCTATGTGTTTGGTCCCTCATGGAACAGGAGTTAGAAGCATGTGTGTTGGCTGACTGATTATCACAATGAGTGACAGGAGCCAAGTTTGAAAATCCAAGTTCAGAAAATAGCTAAAGAGCCAAGTAATTTCACAAACAGTAAAGCCATTGCTTGTATTCAGCTTCAGATGAAGATTTAGACAATAGCCGTTTTTTAGATTTCCATATAAAAGTGAATCCCAAGGAAAATGCGTAACTAGTAACAGACTCCTCGTCATAAGGCAAGAGGCCCAATCTTAATCACTGTAGCTATCAATTCAGAGGAGTACTAAAGGGGAAAAACAAGCCCATACTTAGAGTTGATTTCACATATTTAACTATCTTTATGGCAGCTTGCAATGATTGCTTGGGCTGTTGCTAAATTGACTAAGGAGATGAACTGAGTAGTTGAGATCTGGTCTATTCATACAAAATAAAAGTTTACCTATAGTCTTTGATATGGAGTTGGTCAATACTGGAGCATCATCCCAATATTGAAGAGTTTTTCATAAGCTTGAGAGGTAACTTGTGAATGCTGCTCCAAGATACTATAGCAGGTTTGGATGATGAGAACCAGATGTAGAAATCAATTCAAGGGCATACTTCTTCTGACAAATATTGGTACCCTTAGAAGGTCTTGCTACTTCAAACCCCAAAAATATCTCGAAGCCCTAAATCCTTTAGTTTGAAATGAGAATAAAGTAATGTTGTGCATCATTGATAAAATCCAAGCCATTCCCTTTGATAACGATATCGTCCACATAATCTACCAAGATAACTATTTTGGTTTGATGTCTCTTAATAAAGAGAATAAAAGAATGGGACTGCTGAAAGCCTCCAAAATAAGGGCAGAGTTAGTTTATGATTCCAAGCTCTAGAGGCTGTCTCAATTTATAAAGTGACTATGTAACCTATAACCAAATTTTGACCTCCTGTTTTCATAAACCCTTGCGTGAAGTCATGTAAATTTCTTCATGTAAATCTCTTGTAAAAAGGCATTGTCTACATCCATGTGATGCAAAGGTCAATCATGCATAGATGCCAAAGCCAAAACAACCCTACATCCCATCTTTACCATAGGTGAAATGTCTCACTAATCTATACAGCTTGTTGGGTATATCCTTTGCAACTAAATGGGCTTTATACCTTTCCAAAGAACCATCAGCCCTATATTTCAGTTTATACACCCATTTCACAACCATGGCAGTTTTAACCAGGAGGCAAGGGTACATAGACCAAGTAGCATTGAGTTCTAAGGCTTTATTTCCTTTTGCATTACATTTATCCAATGAGGATCTTAGAGGCTTGGGTAAAAGATGTAGGTTGTGAGTGATGATAAATTAGATAGACATGCTTGATAGGAAGGAGATAGACGATTATATGATATAAAGGGAAATGGGATATTTAACCAATGCAGTAGTGGATTTCTGTGTAATGGTTGGACAAAGAAAATCAAAGTCCATATAAGAGGTTTGGATGGTTTGGTTGATATTCTAATAGAAGGTTCATGGGTTAAGAAGTAGTAAAGGATTTGATCAGTAGGCAAAGCTACTGTTGGGAAGCGAAGATGATTTCTATCTTGATCATGAAATATGTCTTCATTTGCAACATTAAAAGGTGCTGATGATGAAGGTGATGGATAAATGTCTACTTCCACAAATGTTTCAGGTAAGAAAATGTATTTGGATCTTGAGAATAGTGAAATGAAAGATAGTTTCATAGAAATTACATCCTAGTAACATGATTGTATGAGATGTCAGATCATTAGAAGTAACCTTTTTTACTCAAAGAATATCCTAAGAAACATTTGAGAGGACCTTGGAGATTTTTGTCTTTAGGGATAAATAAAAAATAGGCCAATGATCCAAACACTTTTAAATGGTCAATTTGGCTTTTTATCAAGAACTTTTCATAAGGTGAACAACCTTTAAGAACTACAGTAGGTAATCTATTAATGAATACACTACAGTTAGGACACAATACCCCATAACTATTTGGAACTTTAGATTGAATTTTGAGTGCCTTAGCCATCTCTAAAATAGTCGATGCTTTCTCTCAACAATACCATTTTGTTGGGTAGTATGCACATGTACTTTGTGGAGAATCCCTTTACTACTTAGCAACTTAGAATAGGATTTTGTTAAAAAATTCAAGACCGTTATCTGTTCTAATACATTCAGGTGTTATTTGAATTGATTATGACCATTAACAAGAATTGTTTAATGGTCTGAAAGGTATCTGCACTTAAACTGCATAAAGAAACCCAAGTGATCCTAGAATGGTCGTCGACAATGGTAAGGAAATATCTTGCATTCCCATTGGTTGGTGTTTTTAAGGACCCCATACATCCATATGTAGAAGGTCAAAATTATGAGCAGATGTTGAGGTACTTTAGGGAAATTGAAGTCTGGTCTGTTTAGCTAAGGGCAAATACTACAATGAGTTTGAGGTAGCTTGGTTGTATGCAATTTATTATCTATCACTTTCATCACTGAGTAAGAGTGTGTCCTAGTCTACGATGACATGTTTCAGAATCAACAGATAACAAGATATGGAAGAACAAACATTGTAATCTTTATTCATTTCTGAAACAAGGTTTACATCATGATTAGAACATGATTTCCCACAAATAGTTTTTATTTATCAAATCTAAGTTTGATATAGTTGATTTTAATTTTGAAAAAAGGAACAAAATAGTATACCCTTGACTATTTCTACCATCCCCTTCAACTTGCCACTCCAAAGGTCCGTGAATTAAGTAAAATTAGGATAAAATGATTGAACAATCATTGGAAGCAGTATTTTGAAACTGAAAGAAGATTGTACTTAAAATCAGTAATGAGCATTTTTTAAACAAATATCATTATTCAAGTCAACATAACCAGTGTGTGGTATATTGGTTTTGGTACCATAGGAAGACTTGCAAGAGAACTCTGGATGACTCATCAGCAATAATTGATTTCAAGCCATAAAAATCATTGTCATGTGATTTGTGGCCCTGAATCGATTATCCAATTTTCAATATTGTGATAAGAGTACAAAGAAGTGAAAGTTTGCCAAATTGGCGTGGGAGCTGTAATATTCTCTTTTCCCAACAATTGCAAGAGCTGCGTCTGCTGGTATTGTTTGATATAAGACCGACACAGATTATTACCATAATTGAGTGTTAGTGACTACATTTGAAGTTTGAGTATGCACTTGATTAATGAAGGCTTGGATTTTATGCCACTTTTTCCTTTGATGCTAGGCAGATGACAATAATCACCATTTTGTTTTAAAACCTAGTCCGGTCCGCCAGTTTAACCGTTGAACCGGGACCGGAAGCTTCAACGAGCCGAGTTTATGTTTTTTCCTATTCACCCAAAACCCTAAGATTTGGGAGGATGATCGGCGAACAATTGCCAACCGGAATGTTGGGGCTTTTGGAAGAGAAACTGCCGTGAATGCAATGTGGTGACGGCGTTGATTTTCGGTGAGTAAATCGACCGGAAATCAACAAACTGGTAGAGGAAACAACCGGCTTTTGCGGTGATTGGCAAGGCTAACGGGGGTGGGGTGAGGCAAGTTTTGGTCGGAGGAAGAGGGAGTAATTTTGGGATAGGGAGGGTTGTCGACGCCGGCGTCGATGAGATCTGGCCTGAATGCGACCTGACGTCGTGAGATTTGGCTGAATTGAACCTATTTTGGCCGATCTTGGGATATTTTAAGGGGAATGGCTCAAGGGACGATTGTTGCTTATGCATCTGGGGTGTCGCTGCCACCAACAGTTTGCCGGCTAATTTGTATTGGGGTGTGTTTGCTAAATTTCAAACCTATAAGGATGAACTGTAATTTTTAGAGGTGTTTTGCTTAATTTTAAAAGTTTTTGTCACCGTTGCCGATGGTCACCCAGACCCAGCAACTTTCCGTTTTCACTCTGGTTGGTTTTTACAACATGGTAATCACACTCAAAATAGTTTCTTCCCTTTGTATTTAGGATTCAGATTTTGATCTTCTAACCATTTTGTGCATAAAGAGCAGTTGTCACTTCTGAGTTAACATTGATACCTGACAAAATTGACTCTCATCTTGATTCACCACCGAGTGAGCTTGCTTACTGAAGGCAATGTGTCATACGGAGTATTTGACTTCGAACCATTGAATAAGAATCATCAGTCCCATTAGAAATTGTAGCAATTT